TGACTTGGTATTTGCTGTTGTTAAAGCCAAAAACATAAATTTTTGTCAAAAAAAGAGAGAAAACAATTGACACATTTTAAAGTTAAAATGCTTAAATATTAAAGTACATTTTATTTGTGCAGAATAAAATTGTAAAAGCTAAAGTTGCTAAGAACAAATACACAAATACATATGTTTTGAAATATATGTATATAACTAAAAAAAACTAATATGGTTTTTAGAGAATTAAAAGTCATCAGTGAATAGATTTTGTCGTTTGATAAAATTCATAATGTTAAATGAAGCATGTTAAAGGTGTTTTCTGTATCACAGCGTCAAGAGAACAACGTTTTCACATCACCCTCAACCTCTCCAAGGCTGCTGGGAACACAAGTTGGACTTAAACTTGACTGATATTTTATTTTAACAACTTAAGGGCACCCAGTTTGTGGTAAAAATACATACAGTAGTTATGAAAACAATGATTTCTTCATAGCATTCTTTATCTCAGGAAAATAAAAAGATTATTTGTTCCTGACACTAAGGCAGTATGAAATTAACTCACATAACGTCATTAGATGATGTGCTTGGATCATTCAGTGACATGACAACAACCCTAAAATTAAACCAGATGGTGCGGCCTGCTGCTCATGTGACCCTAAAGGGCTCATTAGTGACCTTAACAGCCCTACAGTGTGAACGTCTGACTACATTAGGATGATGCTTCCAACCTCTGCTCAGGTCTGGAGAAGCATTTTGGATGAGAGATGAGGAATACTGTTTTTAATTGGATTTTGCAGAACATTTTAAAAGTCTTTTATTCCCCTTTGGCTAACTGTCCACTTATTCTAATATGTTAGAAAATCAAGCTGTTTCAAAATCGACTTTTATCAGATGAGCTCATATTAGGAACAGAGGTGGGTGGTGACTCGCTGCATTCCTTAGGTTTAGTTTTCACTATGCATACACTAGAGTGCAAAAGTTTGTCAATGTTTTAAAGATTTTTTTCCCCAAGAGACATTCTTTCAAAGTGTTGTTGATATTATTATTATTATTATTATTATTATTATTATTATTATAAATTGATTTTTTTATTATCAACAAAATCAGTTTTGTTGATTGTTGGTCAACAAAATTGCTGAATTATCCAAAGCGGATGTTTGGCTCGGTAGTCACAAGCATACTGCCATCTAGTGGTAGAGTGTAGATTTTACTTTTCACCTCAAATACTTGATCTCGCCAAACAAATTGGATTCATAATGTATGGCTTACATTACAACCTGTTTGTATCATGTCTGAGTCTGACAGAAAGCCTTGGCAGTAAATCTATTCTGCAGTATATCCCAGTCCTCTGAGTGACATTGCCAATAAGATGGGAAATTGGTGATCTGATGTATGAGTGAGTGTGGTATATGTATTGTTTTAACCAAAAGGGCAGCAGGTGCAGTCACAGAGCTGGGGCGTGAAAAGTGGGAATCCGACCTATTGGTTTAGAGAGGATAAAAACACATTCCCTCTGACCTTTCTGCTTCATTACCTGCCATGATACCTCATAAAGTCAGGAAAATACCAGGCTGCAACATTCGTCCAGAAGAATCCTACACTTTCTTTCCTTTGTGAAATTCAGTCGGATTTCCTCCAATTTTGTAGAATGAGATTCATATACTGAAGTGTTGATTATATGTGTTAAACTTCAACTTAACGTGAGCCAATACTGAGTGTACATTTTTAATTACTGAAAAATCTATTAAAATGTTTTGTTGATTTATTGTTTAGTGTGTAGTCAGTAAAGATAACTAACCCATTTCTGCATCACTGTAAAAAATGTCTTTAGTTGAAAGAACTGATGTGCTAATTTTCTTTACTGACCTCTAGTGGTTGTTTCAGACTAAACACAAATAAAATCTATGAATAATGCTTTGTTAAACTTATAAACAAACAGCTTCAGAAATTCAGAAATCAGATTTCCAAAAATTTACACTTGATAAAATGAATTTTTATTTTTTATTTTAAACTGTTACAAACCCAATTTTGAACAACAATCAGTTTGATTTTATGAAATAAAACAAAACATAGCAATGTTTATGCAAGATTGAATTAGTCTTCAGGCAGCCATGATTGTCTGGCCTAGATTGGGGATATCAGTTAGAAGGGGAAAAAACTGAATACATGTTTTCCTTTTTACTTACTTATTTTTTGTGGGCCTCTGCATGTCCATGTGTCTTGCTCTATAGTATTTCAGCTGCCCAAGTTGCATTTTCTTTTAAATATTTCAGATATGCTCTACAACACAATCCCCAAGTTGGCAAATTTTCTGCAAATAATTTGGTGTTGTGCTCCACAGAAAAGTCTGCAAGCGTGTGAATCTGGAATATTGAATCACTAATATGCAGGGGTCCTCTGTACCTTCAAATACTTCATCTTTACTATCAGCAGCTGGACGGCTGAAACATCAGAGCTTCCGAGAACAGCCATGATCTCAATCATATAATAAAATTTTATGGATGATGTTTAAAAGCAGGGCCCAGTCTAAAAGATCATTTTCAGATGAGGTGAGAGATTAAATCTCCAGACAGAATTACATCAGAACCCTGTTGATGTGTCATTTCTCTGCAGCTTGTTGAAGGAGATTTATCCATATAAAACCACTGATATATACTGCATCACCAATCCAGCTCCCCAGAAAATAATGACTTAAATATCTAATTAAAGGCCTCAAACTGATCAAATTAAATTTGCGCACAGCATTCATGCTGATATGTGTATATAAGCTTCTAATCGGAACTGTATTTAAATGCAGACTCTGCAAACAGCGTTAAACCTCACAGTAGTGGCTCACATTTCTTATCTACAAGCATATGACATCAACAACAACAAACAGGACAAATCATGCCTCTGATTCACAAGAGAGGATAAATCTGCACCAACATAGCAGGTCCTGTGGAGAATATAATTCTTGATATAGTCTATATGCAGTGACTACAGCCCTTCATCTGTGTGCATGTTGGTGTTAGGAGTGGCATCCGTTTCAGTAATGACAGCATGGCGGCTGCTCCAGCAGGGATTACCGCTCCGTGTGCTCGGGCTCCCCACCGTGCTCCATAATGAAGCAGGGCTGTGCAGACTGGAGGCCCAGGCTGCAGGTTGTTCTTCCTTCACCAGAGTTTCATGGCTCTGAACGTGACTGCATCACTGGAGATTAAAGCTGTCTGGCACAAAGAAGGAAGGCAGACTTTTCTGCTTGTTCTGTTGACTTGGCCATCCAATTAAAGAGCACGTCACAAAACATCAGTTCAGAAAGTGAAGGTGTGCTGGGTGAAAGATGGCTGCTTAACTGGTTGTACTCCAGCCTGAGGACCACACAGTGACTCCTGAAGGGTGGATTATGACTCCATCCTGAGGCAGAGGTCAGGAGATGACATCCATAAAGGCTACACTTTCATGCACTGTTAAAAAAAGCAGACTTTGGTCAGATTTGATTGACAAAATTATTTCTATTTGTAAAATGCCAGAATAATGAAAGAGAGAGAGAGAGAACATGTTTGAGTTTCACTGACATCCAAGCTGTAGAAAAACCACAGTATATCATTGGATTCTCTGATACAGAACTTGACTGGTTTGACTATTACCTAAAAGGACTAAGATTTATTTGTGTCGATAGGTAACTTTTCATTGAAATGGACATTCGGGTTGTCATATCCATGGTCATTTGGGCTCTTTGCTTTTTTGATTTCTTTTGATTTATTTCTCCTCATTCCAGTTTATTCCCTCAGCTAGTTCCAGTATTTGGGTTTTGGATTTGCTTTCTTTTTAAAATGTTGCTCTAGTTTATTCTGTTAGCTTAGATTCTTATCATAGGTGTTAGTTTTATTTTTGTTAGAATTTCTGGTTAGTTTTCCCTGTAGGTTCAATCTTGTTTCAGTCAGTCTGCCATTCACTTCCCTTCCCAGCTGCTCTCAGTTTCTCTAATTAGCTCCTTCGTCATCTCCACTCCCCACTCTGCATATCTACCTTACAGACTCTACGCTCCTCGATTCCATCCATTACTCTGCTTCTCTTCATCATGCTCTTCTGCTTTCCATGTCTCTGGCTGCCTGTTGGCCCTCATTTCAGTTTTATAAGCTCATTTTGTTCATTAAAGAGAGTAGATCCTCCAGCTTTCTGCACTTGGATCCTCCTTTAAACTTGCATCATGACTGGAGAACCTCAGGGTTCCATCTTGGAGCCCTTATTATTGAATATCTACATTGTTACAGCACCAGGCCTTTCCTCTGGGTCTCTAACATCCCTGTTTCAGAGCTCCTAATTGATGCTGATTGGAAATGGAAGCAGTTGACCAGTGTCTCCAGAAAGACATCAGATCCAGCTTAAGAAACACCATTCTTTCTCACTAACCCCACTCATTCTTTCAATCATAACTCTCCAGCCAGTTATGATTTTTGTTACATAAACCCAATTTTAAGTTATCCCATGCGTTGCTTCTCTTTAATTTGTTATGGTTCCAGAGCCAGACCATAATAACATGATATCAGATGATACACAACTCTACATTAGAATGTCACTAAGTGGCTATAAACTCATTCAACTGTTTAAAGTTTAACAGATCAGTGCATGATGTGCCATCATATGAATAGCAACAAAACTGAAGTTTAAATTTTTTGACACGGGGGAATGATCAGGAGTTCAGCATAAAATGAAAGTTATTACAGCTAGAAGCTAATCCATTCCAAAGTCAGACCTGAACCTTCAGTCACACAAAGACAATTACAAAATTGACCTATGACCTGAAGAACATTTCCAGCATTCAGACACGTCTGAAACGTGCTGATGCTGTTTTACATTGTAGACATCTTACGTTTCTTTAATGCTGTCATATCCGCCCATTAAATCAAAGCTCTTGTTTGTGTTTGAATCCCTCCCAGGTGACGATTGGTGGTTGGAAATCTCCTGAAACAAACTTCACAAAGATAGTTCTGCTGGGTCATGCATTTCAGTTCATCCTCAAGCAATAATTCAGTGGATTATTGCACTTTGTGTTGCAGAAGTCTTTGAGGTAAACTGATCACTCTTGCTGTGGTTTGAACCTAATCTACCTGAAGAGGATTTTGCAGGCAAACAGTGAGTCAACAATGAGTTTTCTGTTGACACAGTTTGTGGTACTTTAGGTGCATACACTATTTTTATCCTTCCCTTTATTACAGTTGTAAAAACAGACCATTTCTCATCTGTATGCAACAGTTTTACATCTTCTTATAGGCTTAATGGAGCTGCAACAAAATAAAACAGCTTTTGTGGTTGTGAAATTATTTTTTACCTGAATATTTGAAAAGAATCATCTCTATTTTAGCTTATATGGCCAGAACGAGAATCCAGTGGCTCCTCTCCCCTCCAGGTCTGTGTGGATGTTCAGATCCTGCAAGATCAGGCAGAGAGAGCAGATCTTAGAGAGATCAATACTCCTTAGTGGATTTCTTATATCAACCACACAGAAATCCTACCATCTGTGACATATAGGTTGAGCATATAAGTCACTGCTGGATGGGATCCAATCCAATAAGTCGCTCTCCACACCGTCTGTTCTTGTTGGGTTGGAAATGCTGGATGGGCTCAAAGAGGTGCATGAGCAGAGACAGCAGGTAGCAGAACCAGGTGGAGTGTTCACTTTTTTCACCCCCTTTTTCACAGCAGTTCAGATTTATTTTGCTTTTTAGCTCTTCTTACCTATATTATCATTTGTGCTCTGAAATGTGCAACAACAAACATACAGGAATGAATAATCAGGAAGTCGAAGTAGATCTGTCCACCTGGCCTTTAAATCAAGAAGATTCATTTGGTTTCAGGTTTTCTTATCTTCATGACGCCAACAGGCATCCAGACAGAACAGCTGCTGATTTCATCAAAACATGATTTAATAGTTATTTTCCTGCTTCGAATAAGTATAGAGAAGACAATATTTAACAGGGAATTAGACAAGATAATATTACAAAGTATTTTTACATGCTACACTTTTACACAGTTTGTCACATTACAACCACAAATTTTAAGGGATTTTGTTAAGATTTCAATCAGAATGTTCAAGCTTTTGTATTTAACTCATTGTAAATACAAGTGAAGTTGCATGTAACTGTGGGAATGACTCCACCAACTTTACAGATCTAGAGACTGAAAATGTCTCAAAGTCTTTACTGTAAAGTTGCAGAAGATCATTCAGTCAGAAGATCTGAATTAATGTTCAGATCTGAACATTAATTTTCATGTCAGCTCTGGCTGGATGTTTATGTTAAGGAAAGTGAACCTCCAACATAGTCTCAAGTTTCCTCCATCCTGTCACAGATTTTCTTTAAGGTTTGATTTCGCTCCATCAACCTTCAGCTCTGACCAGCTCACCTGTCCAGGTGGCCCCTCCTCTGTCCAGGTTCAGGTGATGAAATGATCAGAGCTCCAGGAAATGCTCAAAGCTTGCAATGTTGTTGCAGACTATGACCTTTAAACTTCTCCACAACGTTCTCCCCGACCGAAATATAGATACATGACACTTTTCAGATTTTTCTTTGTAAAACATTTTCAGATCCACAGATCAGTTTTCTTCCACTTCACAAATACTGTCTGTAGTTTTGGATCTTTCACAATGTTCCAAATAAATCAAAAAATCTTTTTAAGCTGCTGGATGTTCTATTTAATTTCAAATCTTATTCCCTTCTCACAAATTCAGGCAACCAGAACCAGGAAGTACTGAGGTCCAATAACTGGCAAAAACTATGTAAGTAGCTGTTCCTCATCCTTTTTCCTGAAAAAAGAACAACAGAGCATGTTAAACATTTTTACCAACTATATAAATAAATTTATGGAATATTACAATACACACTAGTCATATCATAAAATATGAAAAGTAAAAATAATACAAAAACACTGCATTGTTTCTGTTTCTCAGATCTCTGCAAGAAAAACAAAAGCTCATTGGGGGAAAAAACTTTAGTTAAAAAAAAAGAAAGTAAATGTCTGAGACAGAGAAAAGATGTCGTAAGCGATAAAAGCAAAAAAAAAAAAAAAAAGTTATTTTGGGAAAGCTGGGACTGACAACATCTGGATTCCACAAATGTGGAAGCCAACAAATATTTTATGAGGTGTAAACAGTGACATTACAGTGATTTCCTCTGTCAGCTGATGAACTGGCTGTGGTGTTTTCCTGAGTGCTGCTGGCATGTTCATCTCCAACAGAACTCACACAGCAGATCAGGACAGAGAGGAGGCGATGATTTCTCTCCTGTAAGAAGCAAAGTGTGTGTGGAGTCAGAGATGGATTTGAAATATGAAGCGATAAACTCTGAGATGATTGTAGGAATGACTGAGTGCAGCGCTGAGCAAATGTTTGACCACAGAGACACTGAGGAAATACATCAGGCACAACATTTATTATAGATTGTCAAATAATTTATTGCAGTGGCATAATTTAATATTTAAAAACTCAGAGATATTCTGTTATGCATTCTTCCAGTTGGCTTCCATTCCTATATTTGGATATTTCAGAAAATTAATAACATTTCTCAACATTATTTAGAATATTTTCTGTTTCACACAGCCAGTGCAGCACCACTACAGATATTGAGTTTAGAGGAAGTTTTACTTTTTAATTTCACTTTATTTTTAATTTTAAGGCTTCAACAGTTTAGAAAATATCACAAATGAAACCAATGGGATGGGAGATTGAACTGAAATCATCTGAGCTGCTGGTTCTAACAGAACATGTAGCTCTAGAACTAAATCTGGTTCTTAAAGTTCGTCTCAGTTGCTTTTAATAATACAAACTGATCTGTTTCTCTAAAAATAAAGACAATAAAAAATACTTATTTGTCTACATGGAGTTTGTGCAGATTTTTCACAGTCTGAAAACATTAATGATACAGGAAGTATTTGCTTTTGTTGCAGCTGAGGTGCATATTTTTTTATTTTAATTTTCCACAAGTATAGAATAGTCCACTCAAGAAAAAATTTCCTTCTTTGTAGACATAAAAGAGAAACTGATATTTGCTTCTCATTTTATTTCATGGCATTTCAACAGCGTGCAGGGATTCATGCACTCTGTTAAAAAGTATCCTATTTTTCAAAGGGAGTTTTGGACATATTTTAGACACTAGACACAAGTCTAAATGAATCTTTAGATGTAAATGTTGACCCCTGGGTCACTTCATCTAGAGCAGTGGTTCTTAACCTGGGTTCGATCGAACCCCAGTGGTTCGATGAGTCGGTCTCAGGGGTTCGGCGGAGCCTCTGCCGCGGTGGTAAAGACACACTGTGTAAAGTCGTGATGACGTTACATTGCTGAGCCAATCAGAGCTGCGGAGAATCACTGACTGAAGGAGTTCCACTCTCAGCGTGGATTTGAACTTGTGTCTTTAATTACTTCAGCAAAGCTCACAGTTTTTACCAAATTCTGTAGCTTTCGGTGTACTTCTAATTCTGCTCCTTAGTCGCATCTTGTCGGGGTTGGTACTGCCTCTAGTGGCGTGGGGGTGGTAACACAATTACATTACTAAATCAGAATACCGCAAAGTCTTTATTATTTATTATTGATTTTTAATTCTCAAGGATTTAGAGCTAATTAAATAATCTAAACAAGACTTTAAAGTGGTTCCAGTTTCTCTAGATGGCCAACCTGTTGAAACTGTGGCAGATTTTAAATACCTTGGGTCGTTCCTGGACAGTCAGCTCAACTTTTGAAGAACTGTTCTCAGAGAGTCTACCTTTTAAGAAGAATTAATGATCTTGAATTTGGGGGGAAAAAATCATATTTTATTTATCACTACAGAAGGGTTCAGTGAATGCGCATATGAAACTGGTGGGTTCGGTACGTCAAAAAAGGTTCAGAACCACTGATCTAGAGCTTACATTAATTAAAGAATGCTTAATATGTGAATACTAAGTAAGACATACATTTAAAACAAAAGATTTCTGATATTTCTCAAATAGTTTACAATAATTGGGTTCTTCGATGTTTTAATGTAAAAATATAAAACATTAGAAATTTCTATGCAAAATTATTAGAAATGTGTTAAAGTGTTTTCTGCTGTAAACCTTCTAAATATATTGATTCTGCATTTTTTTAAATTCATTTCTGTAGTTCTGTGGGGCCGTCTGCCCGTCGTCTCTGAACAGAGCAGATGACATTTTATCTGAGAACCATGAATGCAAACTGCTGATGTTCAGGGTCTTCTGCTGCCGCTTCAAAATAAAACAACTTAAAAACATCAACTAGTTATAAAATGCTCTCAGAAATGCTGCTTACATCCAAGTTATTTCCTTGAAGTTATGAAAAATGTGGCAGCAATTACTGGTGCTGACTCTGCCAAAAGTGGGTTTAGTTACAGAGTTTGAAAACTGCCAGTGTAATTATTACATTGGTGCCTTGTGCAACTATGAAAATAATTACACAGTGAGTAATGTACAGTGCAAAAGTATTCATACCCTCAATGTTTTTCTCTTTTCCATCGCATTGCAACAACAAACTGCAATTTATTTGATTCATGTTTTATGTGAGAGAGTAAATATGAAATAACAAATAACTGTTAAGTGGAAAGAAGAGGATAAACAGTTTCTAACATTTTTTTTTTAAATAAATATAAATAAGTCTCCTCCAGTTTTAATAGAGTTTCTTCCAGAACTTCCTGACCTGCTTCCGGCTTCCTGGGTCTTCATGATTCTGGTTGTTCTCCAAAGAATCTCTAAGTTCAGAAACACACAAGAGGACTCCATTTATAATCAGATAACTTAAGACCCCACCCATTAATTGCACTAGGTATTACTTAGAGGTAACAGAGTAAAAAAAGGCTGAGTTCAAATTCATGGCACACTTTTATTTCTAAAAAGATTTGAACCAGTGGTGGAGAAAGTATTCAATAAATGTACT